GGGGGCTCCTCCAAAGACACTGCAGTGGTCTCTAGTGGAGAAGTGATCCTGACTGCCTCTGAGCTCCCAGCCCAGGGTGAAGCGCATCGGCTCTGGTCTGAAGGTGAGAGGCTCCACTGTGTGAGCGGTGTTGGCGTGTTGCTCTGGCTGTGTACTGACCGCTGCCTGCTCTCTCCTCAGTGCCCCAGGTCTTCAGCTATGGCTTGCTGGCAGTAGCTGCCTCCACTGTGCTTGTGGTCTCTGCGCTGCTGCTGGTAGCTGGGTGGAGATTCAGACCTTGTACACAGAACAAAGCTGTAACTGGAGCATAATAAAGGGAGAAATGAACTCTGTTCCTCCTCAGCCTTTTTCTTTTTCACTTTCTTAATGATGACTAAGACACTTACAGCTGCTTCTTTCTAGAAGGAATGGTGGCAAAAACACTGCTTAACAGCTCAATGTAATGATTATTGCAGTAAGAGGGGCTTTTCTGCATCCAGTTCTGAAACCTCTTCCAGAACCACAGTCTGCTCCCTCTCCTTCGTCTTGGTAATCTGACCACTGAGGAAGGTAATTCCTCAGTGTACCTGACTCCTGCAGGTGCTGCTTGGAGTCATGGGTAGCTCTGTTCCCCTTGCAGCGGCAGTAGGCGAACTGACTTCGTACCTCTTACTGCGGCAATACTGCCTGCTCCTCACACCGGGTTGACATCATGCAATCCAGGAAGTGGCTTTAGGCTGGAATAATCTGTGGTCTTGGCTTCTGTTTTCTGAGGGGAAATAGAAGTAGCAGGATTAGACTTGGATGTACTGTACCTAGGAGTTCACTTGGGAGACACTGGTTCATGAACAACTATGTAAATAAAATGGTTTGAGTTTGTCTCATCATAAATTGATGTTCATGATCACAAATAACCTAATTTCAAGGGTAGTTAGTGAGGGTGGTACAGTGGGCAGTACTACTAAATTTTGGTTATCTGTATATTGAGTGTTAAATGTCTGGAATTGGTGATCATACAATTGAATAGTGTGATCAGCGTAGCTTATTGACATTGCAAGTGCTTTAGTGATATTTGTTTTGATTACAATTCAAAGACTTCTTCCTGTTAAAGGCAAGAAGAGAAACCTTTGATTTGTGGGGTTCTGAGTGAAAGAACTTTTAAACCAATCAATTTTTAACCAATCTCAATATACAATGTGATTCAGAAGCCCTTGTCTGGTGGGGGGGGGGAAAGAGGCATTAACTTTTAAAGATTTAAACTCTGAACATGCAATGAGACTGACCTCTTTCAAATTGTATTTTAAACTACCAGTGTATGTGGTAATACTTCAATTACTAATTATTTACTTACACTTATAGTGCTTTTTGGGACACTCCACTCCAAGTGCTTTACTGGTAATGGGGAATCCTCTCCACCTGTAGTGTGCCAGAATGCTCACCACACATCAGCTATCAGTGGGGGGGGGAGCAGAGTAATGAAGCCAATTCATCGATGGGGATTATTAGGAGCCCATGATTGGTAAAGGCCAAGTGGAATTTTGGCCAGATCCCCAGGGTTACAGCCCTACTCTTTTCAAGAAATGCCCTGGGATTTTTTAATGACCTCAGTGTCAGGACCTCATTTTTATGTCTCACCCAAGGATGGCGCCTGTTTATAGTGTAGTGTCTCCATCACTATACAGGAGCATTAGGACCCACATGGACTGTAGGGTGAGTGCCCCCTGCTGGCCCCACTAACACCTCTTCCAGCAGCAACTGTCCAGGTACTGACCAGGCTCAGATCTACTTGGCTTTAGTGGGTTGCCAGTTGTGAGTTGCAGATATGGCTGCTGCGAAATGATTAAGTCATTTTAATTTATCAACACAGGTTATTCCTTTAAGCACAGGAATACAGATAAAACAATGAAGTTATGAAGAAGTCACATTTACCATCTCAACCATCACACCACTGACCCCCTCAATCTCCTGGCTGATCCTGTCTGATTCTTCAGACTTGATAAAGAACACACTTTAATTATGAAGGTTTTAGGAAGTTTCTTTACCCTGCCTTACCAAGAGAAAGCATTCTGGTGTACTTTCAAGTTTAACCTTTCAGGCTGCAAGTTTTCTTCCCTTTGAAGAGTTGTTTAAATATAATTAATGTTGGGGATGGATTTCGTTTATCTGCCAGTTATAAAGGCACAACAGGAAGGAAGTAATCCAATAAAGATAATATTACAGGCAGATCTGACAGGCTTAAAGACTGTGAAAAGATTACTTGTTTCTAAATATTTTCATCTACACTATGAATACCCCCAGCTATGTCCCGGAATTTTTTATAAATTTGCACACAAATATATACTACAAAACATACACATTAGGTGTGTATACAGTAGGGTTATTTATTGTCTTGTAATTAGTTTTAAGTATAATGATAGTTTACTGGGAACAACGACATTCAAGAACTGAATGCTTTGTCAATGTTTGGAATACTTTGTGTAATAGGATTGGCTTCACCCGCTTGGTTAATAGGCAGTCTCCTAGCCAGGAGGAAGCTCAAACTCTATTCATAAGAAGTGAGCCAAAGGGCAGCTGCAAGGAGGAGTTGGGATGCCTGAGATGAATGTGAAGGGAAACGTTTCTGTTCAAAATACTATATATAGCTAGTTTTGTAATAATCATTTACACTTAATGTGTACTGTATTGCACTTTTCTGGACACTCCACTCAAAGCGCTTTACAGTTAATGGGGACTCTCCTCCACCAATGTGCAGCCCCATCTGGTTGATGCAACAGCTGCCGTGGTGCACCAGTACGCTCACCACACACCAGCTATCAGTGGGGACGAAAACAGAGTAATGAAAGTGTGTGGGGTTTATTAGGAGGTTGGTAAAGACCAATGGGAAATTTGTCCAGGACACCAGGGTAACACGGCTATTCTTTTGAAAACTCAGGACCTCAGTTTTACATCTTATTCAAAGGACAGCACCTTTTTTATAGTATAGTGTCCTTGTCACTACAGTATACTGGGGCACTAGGACCCACACAGACCACAGCACCCCCTGTTATCTCCACTAACACCACTTCCAGCAGCAGGTACTGGCCAGAGTCACACCAGCTTAGCTTCAATGGGTTGCCAGCTGTGAGGTGCAGGGTGATATGGCTGCTGGCATATGTTGATTAAGTACAGCCTTGTGAGATTGACTTGACATTATTATCCCATCCAAATTTTGGTTTACAACTTCCATTTCATCTACCCGTTTCTTGAAAGAAATCAAAGTACTTGTTCCAGACTTGAAGATAATGACACCTAGAATTCCAGATTGCTTTAAAGTTTGCAGTTTCCACATACCCTGGCCCAACAATATAATATCCAGGGTCAGGAGAGCCTGAAATGGTGGCTGCATAGTCCTTCAGTCATCAGCCTATGTCGCATTAAAGAGGAATGAAGGCTGGAGCCCAGTACTTGCAAGGAAGATTCGCACAAAGTCATAGACTAACATCCTTACCTGACTAGTTTACATTTTTGTTGCTCATCAGGTGGAGTTACAACTGCACTCATCCAACGTTACACTACATTCCTCATATAGCGCACACTTATAGGTACAACGCCACCTAGTGGTGAGTGTTTCGATTGCTTCACTACCCACATGCACTTGTGACTTTGACATATTGTACATATAATAAATGGTTGGAGGTACAGTACCTTTTTGTGCAGAGAATGACACAAGTATCAGTGCATAGATCTGGGAAGGTGGACTAAGAGAGAAATCCTGATCCTATACGATTCTTAAACCTCGAGAAACTGGATTGCAAAATACAACACTTAATGGATATTGGAATATATGCTAATGATACGTGTACTGCTCACACACACTACAGTCGCACACTTTGATTTCATTTTTCAAAGCTCTTCATTACAGTAAAAACATTAAGATGTTTTGTAATTTGGGATGAAAAGCTAAAATTTGTGAAAAGGTCACCGTTATGTGTTAACATCGCTCCTCAGCAGCATTAACTCCATACCTCGCAGTTTCAGAGAGTGTCTGTGACTTGCGGTTTAGTTCATCTGTGCACTGTTCACAGTAAATAAAAAGACAAAAATTGCAGGTTTATCAGATGCGAGAGAAGATGAGGGTCAAAATACGTTGGACACCCTTTCATTTGTGAGGAAAATGTATATAACTCCTCACGTCATTTACTGTTTAAATTCGTCAATTAAAATATATTTATGCCGTTGAAGGCAAGCCGCTACCTTCAATCGTTTTAGTCGTACAGTCATACACCCGTCATGCGTGTAAGTTTGCCACAATTTAAGAAGCAGGAATGTGCAGTCGCCAGAGGAGACGCTGCCCACAGGCTCACTCGTTTTCAGCTCGGCAGACTGGACTGCAAAGAGAGAAATCGCATCTCTCCCCCGAGCAAGAGCCTGGGTTTCCAAGGTCGAAGAGTGACTGTTTGGTAACTATGGTAGAAAAATACGCTCCTGGTGCCTTTTTTACTCACACCTTTAGAGAGTTTTTACAGCGCACGCCTGAATTCTTTTCGAAAATGTGTTACGACAGAAGGATATATTAAAAATACGACCATCGCAAAAAAAAAAATCTAGATCACTCACTTCAGCGCATTCACCTCTAAACGTATACAGTATTCTGGATGTAAATGCAGAACATCGGACGCCCTCAAATGTCCACATAATAAACACAAATTTACTATCAATTCTCCGTGTCAAGTCGTTTGTTGAAAAATGAAGCTGTGAAAGAATTCAGTGTCGACGCTGCGGCGGTGATACAAGAAGTGTATGCATTAATAATACATGAACTGGATTTCAGCCTGGATTAAATTTTAAGTAGCAGTGCCATATGCCTCCACTTTTCAACTATTACTAATGTAGCAGTAGTGTGTGTTCCACATCTAAAATAAATGAATACGTCCTGTAGTGTACAAGGTTTTTTAATGTTTTACTTTTCGTATGAGAGAATTTCATTTGAGCTCTAACCTTTTTGTCATCAAACCCCCAATGCAATATCTGACAATACCAGTCTGCGAGGGTAAGAGAATCACAGCTGAGGCAGCGGAGAGAAAAGTGTTCCGACCAGAACAGAGCCCGGTGACCACAGACATTATTAAGATGGAGCAAGCTGAGAGCCGGGCAAACATACAGTGGAGACTCCTCCGAGTCACGTGTGGACAGTGAGAAAGCGAGTTGTCTCTTTTAGAGTTTTGTCTGTTTATTCAAAGGCTCTCAGAGGAGCAATGATTAATCATCTGTCCTAATTAAAGCGTGACTGAAAAAAAAATTGAGAATCATTGCGACTCTAATGAAAAGCCATGCATTTCCTTTGCTGGAGCGGACGCGGCGGCAGACTG